ACAACTACCTGAAAGGAGGTTGTAGGGAGGTGGGGTGTCATAGAATCATAGAATTGTCTAGGTTGGAAGGGACCTTTAAGATCAAGTCCAACCATCAACTTAACACTGCCAAAAACACCACTATACCATGTCCCTAAGCACCACATCTACCCATCTTTTAAATATCTCCAGCGATGGCAACTCTACCACTTTCCTGGTGTAACTTGGTCTGTCTCTTCTCCCAAGTAACAAGTGATAGGACAAGAGGAAATGGCTTCAAGTTAAACCAGGGGAGGTTAGGAAGAATTTCATCACTGGAAGGGTTATCAAACATTGGAACAGGCTGCCTAGGGATGTGTTTGAGTCACCATGGTTTAGTAGTGGTTTTGGCAGTGTTAGGTTGATTCTGTGATTTTATAAATTTATGAGTTACAGTATTTTGTTTTGGAAGGTAAACAGAAATAAAACACTATGAAAAGTGATACTGTAGCGGAGACCACAGATATGTCTCACTCTGTCTGTGGATTGCTTTAAATGTCAATATTATCATTAGATGACTGATATTCTTACTAAATAGGCCAGCACTGTTCCAGTAATACATTGTTTTCTCTCTTGTTCTCCCTTGAATATGAGCTACCTCCTGCTGTTTGTGCATCCAGTCTAATACAAACACTTCTTATGTTTTTCTGAGTTCTTTTAAAGTTAGCATATATAAAATATCAGACATATTTTACATCTTTTTGTTTTTGTGTATATGTACAAAACTTTTTTCCCAAAATCTTAAAACAATTTTTTTCTTTTTTTCTTTTTTCTGTCTTTCAATTACTTTTTCATTCTCTCAAGCAAAATTCAATATAACCTAGTAAAAGCTCTACTACAGTCACTTAGTCTGTGAGGACTTTCAAGAGAATCTTTCACATTCTTTTGGGTGTAAAATTTGGACCTGTGAGTTCTCTTTATATGGTCACTGATGCTTCATTTTTAAGTCTGCTTCTAGGCAAGTTTGTCTGCCCAATTCAACCCTCTGGCATGAGTATCTCTTCAGAAGACAGTAGCATTTGTATGAATGCACTGTTATGAATGCACTGTTTTGAAATATAAGTGGAAAGCTCTCTGGAGTTCTTATCTTATATAACGCTTGATTGTTATAGTGATGTGTATAGACCTTGTTTTAGGGCTTTCAATGAGAAAGTAACAATTGTTACAAGGAAAAGCTATAACAACAAACAGTTATCACTAGTACCTAAGGCTTAATTAGCTGTACTGAATTTAATTTTTCTAATATACATTTGATGAATTAGTAATTTCTTCACAACGATGAAGAATTTCTTCACTTGATGAAAACTCCTTTAGTATTTCACTTGGTTTAAAGCCTACAATGGCAACATTTTTAAAGCAGATAAAGTTAAAAGGTGCTAAAGATATAGCAGATAAAAATAAAAGGAAGCAGATAAAGTTAAAAATAGGTGCCTGTGTAGATAGAGACATGGACTTGTTTTGGACATGAGGCAGCAAATGTCTCAAACTTTAAGATACGCCAAAAGCAGTCTGTTTTACTGTCAATAAGGAGGGGTTTAGAAATGAAAACAAATATAGAGAATGAATTGGAGGATGTCCATGTTAATTTCAGTACCTCAGAGCTTAAACTTCTGAGGAATTTTTTTTTCCTTGTGTCCTGACCTCCTCAGAACAACTTAAGTATTTTGTGTCAATTACGTGAATAATGAAGAAAGTAATATTTCTTTGCCATTGACCTTTATGAAGGCAGTTTTTCAAAGTGAATTTGGGATTAAGTTTTGTTCTATGTATATATTATAAAGGCATCTGAGACATTAATGTATATGTTCATCTGATAAAATCTTATTGGACAATAAGACTTAAACTAACAGGAACAGTTACTAAGATTACATAAAGACTGAACATTGTAGGATTTAGTTGACATGTATAATAATCACAGTTTTGAATTTATCCACAGAAAAGTTATACCCTTCTTAACCATTAATTATTATGGCAGATAATAAATTAGCATTTTAGTTGCCAAACTGAGTGAACTGATGGAGAAGTCTAAAATCACAATTCCCATAATTATCATGCTGTAATTTTCCCCCCATGTTTATATGTACACTGATAATTATATGCAATAGTAATTAGTAATGCAGATATGTTTAACGTGGTTTGGTTGAGGTTGCTGTGGGAATGATAACTTTTTTCAGTTATCAGTCAAAACATTTTCAAAAATGATGCCTTTCTATATTGAATTAGTCTTTTAAAAAAAAGAAATGTGTGACTGAGCACACATTCAAACAGATGGATGTGGGGTTTTTTTGTCATTTAGCACTCCAGTTGTAAATATGCCTGTAACTTGACTGCTTGTCCTTAGAAAAGTAAGGAATGCAATTAATTCAGCTCTATATGTGTAGAATATATTTTAAGATGTTAAATTTATTTTCATAACTTTTCTCAAAATATCAAGGCTACATTGGAAAAAAAAAAGAATACTATTCAGGATAATCCCTATTTAATTTGGGATATACGCTTAAATGCTACTCTGAATAAAGATGAACTTAAGTTCATGCTCATTCTTTTCCACAACTAAAGTCTAAGTTCCTGGCCCTAACTTTGAACTTAAAAGCTTGAAGGAACAGATTCTGCACATGAATAACTTGCCATTGAAGTAGCTGGCACTTCCCGCACGTGCAGGGGCCTGTTTCACATAGAACATTTTGAAAGCCTGAGGACCCAAGCCTACCAGAAGCTTGAGATTTTAAAAATTAAAATACATGAGAGAGAACCCAGAAGTAGTTGGAAGTTTTCAAAATAAGCAAGACAAACGATTCACTGTCTGGAAAATCTGCCTTCAAGTTAAGCCTATTTTATTTACATGCAAGAGAAGGTTAAGAGATGCTTTGTCTATGGTTAGGTGCCAGCATGGGAAAAAGTTTTCTGATAGTAAAGAGATATTTCAGTAGCAGGTAAAGCTCAAAATGCAACTCATCAAAATTTAGACAAGGAATAATGTACAAAATGTTTAATAATGAAAATAATTACTATTGGAACAGGTTACACTAGAATATGGTGAATACTTATCACTTTAAATATAGATCAGATATCTTTCTGAAAGACCTGCCCCAGTTCAGTAATACTTCATGAGATTGATGAAATAATGGTGAATTTTAGCAGTAATGAATGCTTCTTGACCTACATGATTAAAAAAATAGGACAAGCTGATCATAATAAGCATTAAGATCTCTGGTTTTAAAATCTATGGATCTGTGGCCACAGATATATTGTTTTCAATGACAATATTGGTGATGTACAGAATCACAGAATGGTTAGGGTTGGAAGGCACCTCTGGAGATCATCTATTCCAACCCCCATATGTACATTGACATATATTCCCCAGTGCCTTGTTCCCTCATCTGTTTGTAGTGCTATGCTGTTGCCAAAACAGGGAAGTGTTTCTTTTATATGAATGTGTGTGCATATATATAAAAACATCTTAATTTACGATTTTAAAGGACTGGTTCTTTAAATAGGCCACAAAAACTTGTCTCGGTGAAGTGAGAGGTTAGTGTAGTAGCTGGAACGAGCAGCAGGAGGCAGGACTTCAGTCCTGTAGTACTGCTGTAGACAAGGTATTGTCAAACAGTGGAGTAAGATTCAGAATTATGATTCCCATTATGTATCATGTTATAATATCATGTTAAGATGGGAGAGTCTATGGTTGCAGTATATAGTAAGTTGATCTTAGTATGATGAAATCTTAACCTTTTAATTTTTAGCACACTGTATCCTTTTAACTTTGACCTTTTCTGTCTGATTTAATAGTTTGACTTAATAGTATTTTCCACTGAAGCAAGAAAACATTATAGATTTAAACATTATTTTTGTAATATTGAAGTATATTTTCTTACATACTGATCAGATACTTGTATGCTTTTATAAAAAGGCTTATTTCTAATATTAGACAGTTGCAAGAAAGACTTCCTTTTTCATTGAGAATTACTACAGTAAAAATATTATTTGATTAGCTTATAAAAAGGGGAAAGCAAATTGTATTTATGCACTAATTGAAATATAATCTGAAATATTTTCCAGTTTTGTGCTGTATATTGAGTGAACTCATTTTAGTAGTGTAATTTACCAGCATAAACTCTTTGGATAATACTGTAATAATTAAAGAAGGAGAGGGAAGACTTACTTAAAAACTGTCTACAGGGGGAATAAGTGGTTTTAAATGTAAAGATGGTTTTCCATTGCTTTTGGTTTTATTCCATTTAATGTGTCTAATTATATGCCTTCTTTTACTGTACATCCCATTGTATCTCTCACTTTCTATGTTTTTGCTATTCTAGCTCTGCAGCTAAACTACAGTTAGATTGTAATTTTATTTTTAATGCTGTCATAGAATTAATCAAAAGATGTATTAATATGGGGGGAAGAATGGGAATGGGTATGGTTGCCTACACGTTTGTATTAGGAGTAATACTACTGTATAATCAGTGGTATATAATACTTGTTCTTTTAAATGTATTATTCTGAACCCATCTGTTTTGTTTTTTTTAAGGATGGATCTTACTGTCTGTGCAAAGTTCCAATTTTTGCTTACTTTGAGAGCTCTGGATATTCAAAGAATGCTCTGACAGGCTGTAGGGGTGATATCCTGTCTAATGAAACTAATGGCAGAAAACCTACTGAATGATTGAGATTTTACTCCATGGTTGCAGAGAGCAGAAATTTTGTTTCTAATTCACAGTGCACAGGTCTTTCTCAAATACTTGGAGGAAGAAATCTTGAGGCCTTTCTTAGGATTTTATTCTGGGATTTTTTTTCTTTTATTGATAACGTTGATTGTTCAGTAATTTTTACTGTTTGCAATGTAGCTTACTGATAAATCCACTTCTCTTATTTTATGAGCAGGGAGGATGGTAAATTGGACTTTGAAAGATCCTGCAGTATATATGCAAGCAAAATGCCTCCCTGACTTCACTGGGGAGGTTTGCCTTCATGGGGACTTCAGGATGAGGCCTTTAAGTAGAAAATATCTCTTGGCCGTGGCTGAACTAGATATTACTGTTGAACTTAAGTCAATCTATCAGAATTTTCCTGATCAGCCTTTTTTACTGCCTTGTCTTGAGTCATTTTTTAATGACATCTATTATCAGATTGAAATGGCGATTGAGACACTGCAAAAGTCTGATGGTCTTTCTACTCACAGAAGCTCTCTTCTCAACAGCCATGTAAGTTGTCTCTTTCATGAAAGCTAATCTCTTGCTTGTTTGGCATGCTTAGCCTGCCTCTAAATGTTTGTTTTAATTTGTTGCTACTTTTTGCTTTTAATCTTTCCATTTTAGTTGCTTGTAATCTACATCTCCTGTCACTATATTTTGTCAGGTTAAGTGTCATGACATATTGTAGAGTGATTATTCTTTTCTAGGTTCTGTATTGTGTTAACATAGCTTAACGTATTTGCCTGTTCTGCAGGTCCTAATGTAAATGTAAAAATAATAATAAAATATTCTTAAGTACTCTGGGTTTGACATTTTAAAATACTTTTCTACAATTTTTGTACCCGATATAATAATTTAAGAGCAGGTAAAGGGGGAAAGCAGCAGTACACATTTTGAATAAAAAATATTCTTTTTAAATATTTCTATTATTCTGAATAAGTTTATTATAAGATAAAAACTCTAAAGATACATTTGATGAGATAAAAAAATAAAACAATCTGTTAGTCTCTAATATGTTTTATTCTTCTGCCTCTTACTTAGTTCTGTCTTTGCAAATCCTGTAGTTAGGAATTTTCCATAAGAGAAAGCTGAAGATGTTTGCATAAAAAGATGGTTGCAAATATAGTGGTAAAGCCATTAAATATAACTTTTTGGTAAAGGAGAAAGGCTCTAAGTTTAATCTTCAGTTTGTTTTTAAACAGTGCTAGTCTTTCTTGAAACATTATGTAAACAACACGTTTTTTTCTTCAGTTGGTATAAATAGTTTTGTGGGTTTTAATGCTGCTAAATTTCTATATATACTACACGCTTTTTGTTTCTCAGCCTTACTAACCAACATAAACTTACATATATTTTAAGATTCTTGTATTCCTTTACCACAGAAATCATAGAATGGTTTAGGTTGGAAGGGATCTTGAAGATCATAGAGTTCCAACCGCCCTGACATGGGTAGGGACACCTTCCAGTAGACCAGGTTGCTCAAAGCCCCATCCAGCCTGGCCTTGAACACTTCCAGGGAGGAGGCCTCAACAACTTCTCTGGGCAACCTGTTCCAGTGCCTTACCACCCTCACAGTGAAAAATTTCTTCCTAATATCTAATCTAAATCTACCCACTTCCAGTTTGAAGGCATTCCCCCTCGCCCTAGCACTACGTGCCCTTGGAAAAAGTCCTTCCCCAGCTTTCCTGTAGGCCCTTTAGGTACTGGAAGGCCACAATAAGGTCTCCCCAGAGCCTTCTCTTCTCCAGGCTGAACAACCCCAACTCTCTCAGCCTCTCCTCATAGGAGAGGTGCTCCAGCCCTCTGATCATCTTCTTGGCCCTCCTCTGGACCCACTCCAACAGGTCCATGTCCTTCTTATGTTGAGGGCTCCAGAGCTGCATGCAGTACTCCAGGTGGGGTCTCACCAGAGCAGAGTAGAGGGGCAGAATCACCTCCTTTGACCTGCTGGCCACTCTTCTGATGCAGCCCAGGATATGTTTGGCCTTCTGGGCTGCAGGCCCGCATTGCTGGCTCATGTTGAGCTTCTCATCAATCAGCACCCCCAGGTCCTTCTCCTCAGGGCTGCTCTTGATTGATTCTCTGCCCAGCCTGTATTTGTGCTTGGGATTGCCCTGACCCAGGTGTAGGACCTTGCACTTGGCCTTGTTGAACTCTGTGAGGTTGGCATGGGTCCACCTCTTCAGCCTGTCCAGGTCCCTCTGGATTGCAATGTAAATATTGATTGTGATATGAATGTATGAGTATATTGGGTAGAGGCTATACACTTATTTTGATTTGTTGACTTTCCCTCCCACCCCAAGAATGTGGTAATATGGAGGTGAAGACCAAAATTGCTTCATCAAAGTTTACCATCATGGTAGAAAAAGACAGCACGAGCCAGTACAATTTCTTGGAAGACAATTTACTTTTCTTAGAAAATGCTAAAATTTGGTGAGGGAAATTGAATTCTGTAAAATGTGAAGAAGGACTTTTAGATCATTTTGGATGGTTTTAAAATAATTGTTTCAATGTTAAGACAACCTAGAAATACGCTAAAATTATTTTAATATCATAATTAAATGGATAATTTTTTTACAAAATGCCAGAAATCTGTCCTAAAACTTAGATATACAAAGAATTGATAAGTCTGCCTTGAATCTGACAAGGAAATCCAGAATCTTCCCACTGAAAACAATAAGAATTAAAGGACAAGCTTTTCTACATCAGAAAACTGTATTCCCCTATTTCCTGTGTTATGCACTAGTTAAAAGATCATGGAACAGATCCTCCTGAAAGATATGTTGAAACATATGGAAGACAGGGAAGTGATTAGAGACAGCCAACATGGCTTCAGCATGACAAATCATGCCTGACTAATCTAGTGGCCTTCTACAATGGAATGACTGCATCAGGGGACAAGGGAAGAGCTACGGATGTCATCTACCTGGACTTCTGTAAGGCCTTTGATATGGTCCCCCACAACATTCTTGCTGCAAAATTGGAGAGATATGGGTTTGATGGAGGGACTGTTAGATGGATAAGGAACCGGCTGTCTGGCCACGTCCAAAGAGTTACAGTAAATGTCTCAGTGTCCAGATCAGTAAGGAGTGGTGTCCTCAAGGGTCCATACTAGGACCAATACTATTTAATATCTTCATCAATGACAAAGATAGTGGGATAGAGTGGGTCTGAGGAGGACCACAAAAAATGATCAGAGGGCTGGAGCACCTCTCCTATGAAGACAGGCTGAGAGAGTTGGGGTTGTTCAGCCTGGAGAAGAGAAGGCTCCAGGGAGACCTTATCGCAGCCTCTCAATAGTTTAAGGGGCTTATAAGAAAGAGGAAGAGAGAGACTTTTTACCAGGGCCTGTAGTGACAGGACAAGGGGCAACGGTTTGAAACTGGAAGAGGGTAGATTTAAATTGGACATAAGGAAGAAAGTTCTTTACTCGGAGGGTGGTGAGACACTGGAACAGGTTGCCCAGAGAAGTTGTGGATGCCCCATCCCTGGAAGTGTTCAAAGCCAGGTTGGATGAGGCTTTGAGCAACCTGGTCTAGCGGAAGGTATTCCTGCCCATGGCAGGGGAATTGGACTAGATGATCTTTAAGGTCCCTTCCAACCTAAACCATTCTATGATTCTATGAAAATATCTTCCTAATAATGAAATTTTCATGTGTCTGTTATGGTAGTCTTATCCTGATATTTCATAACTGTTTTGATGTATTTTCAAAACTACTGAAAGACAAATAATAGGATCTATTGTTGATTATGTAAAAACAAACAAAAAAAAAACCAAAAAACCCCCACCCATAAAAACCCTCTATGCATCTTGCTGTAGTAATTGTTCTTTCCTAGCCTCAGTCATTTTGGAAAAGATGAATTGAACCCAGATCAAACTTACTGGATATTTTCCCTATTTTAAAACATTTATTGAATTATGACTCAAATAATGACAGTAAATATGGTTTTAGTCCTATCTTCTTCCTTTAGCTGGCCTTTTGTTGTCTAAGTTAATACCTGTTCATTTTCACGATATTTTGTTTTCTTCTATTTTATTTCCTTTCCTGATTTCTTTCTGCATGCAATTGACTTAAATAATTTATGATCTAATGTATTCTAAATATTGAAGTTTCATTGAAGTCAATTTACCCATTCTGTGTAAACCATTTCATACCATTCCAATATTATAAATCAACAAGTCAGATATCAAAGTCTGGAAATTTCAATTTTAGAATTAGATTTCTGCAAATACAAAAATAGGTTTAAGGTTATTTGCAATAACTTTATCATATCTGCAGGTTATTTACCTTTTCACATGGTATTCAGCTATTGGCACTCTTCTTTCCAGGCTATAACGTACCAAGTAATAACTTCAAGTTTTTGTTGTGGAAATATCTTCACCCTAGAGCAAAAATCCTTATTTTATACTTATCATGGGTTTTGCTTTCCATTGTTGGCTAATGCCAAGCTGTAGTTGAAAGAATATCTGTCAAATACAGATCATTAGTAAAATGCACTTAAATGAATCCTAATAAATTATAATTCATGTGGAAAAAAAGTCTAATGCTATATTTAGAAGTTCATTGGAAAATAATTTTGTTTGTTTGTGAGTTAAAACAGAAATAACTCATATTCCATAATCTAATTAATATAGATTAAATGGAAAGGTTGAATGATATAATTGATACACTTAGGTGATTAGTGAAATGGTTTTGTTAATACACTCAAGTAAAGGTAAAAGTTTACATTAATATTTTTCTTAAGCTTTATTTCAGAATTGTAAGTGCTCAAGATAAAATACATTTTTGAATGTTAAGACTTTTTTAACAACGTGTTTATATCTACAACGTGACATAAGGATTGTTATGTTTATTTAAAGTGCAACATTATCTGCATTCATCTTGGAACCAGTTAGATCTTGCTTTTCCTGCATCTTTTCATGGAGCTCTTGTTTAGAAACTTAAGCATGATAGTTCTGGTGATGTTTTCTGTAAGAAAGTAAATATGAAGTTGATCCATGAAAGGTCTGGAGTAAATCTTTTTTTTTTTTTTTTTTTTTTTTTTTGTATTTTTCATGTATTGTGCTTGGTAAATTGCTCACAACTGACTTAAACAGAACTTTGTGTCCAATATGTCATTATAATCTAAATTTTACTAGTAGTTCTGCAATAAAGAAGGGTCAGAGTAGAAACATATTTCATGAATAATGGACATAAAAATATTGATGTTCATGTTCTTTAAATGACAAGTTATACTGAACATTAGTAGAACAGATTTATTTTTTTTCAGTGATCTATTAGTAAATAACCCTGCAGAGTAGTGTATTATCTTTTAATTATCTTTTACTGTACTTTAAACACATATCTTGGTCTTATTAATTGCTTTGGTGGACTAAATTGAAATGTATTATACAACTGTGCGAGGCTCCAGCATATTGAAATAAAATTTTGTTCCAAATGCCAAGAACAAATCCATGGCTTGGGGATTTATTGGATGCTCAAACTAAGCCCAGAGTTTTGGTAAGATTTGTGAACCTGGAAAATTTGGATGTTCATGCTGATTCATTTTGGTATAATTGCTTTCTTAAGTAATTAAGTAGTAAATGCAAGCAGAAAACAAAATTTGGGAATTATTCAAGCTGAAATGAAAAGGAAATTCCAAGGATATGAAACCATGAGGGGAGGGGGGTGTAAGCTAGGTAAAATGTTAGCGTCCCAAAAAAACTGAAATCACAGAATTTACGTATCACCAGTATAAAAATATTTCCATTTTATTCTGTTGTTCTCCTATACTGTTAAATGTCATTAAAGTGACCATTTTACTTGGGTTTTGTGTGTATGTTAGTTACTATTTGTTCTATGCAAAGGTACAATGGTATATTAGAAACTGTTTGCCTACATGCTTCCAAAATTGCTCACCAAAATTCTACTTTAAGTTACACAGAAAAAAAATAAAATACTAATTCTGTTCCTCTTTGAAGTCAAAGGCAAACAGGCTACAACAGCAAGGGATTGGGCCCATAATATTTTATAGATGTACCAGTTATTTTTCATGTCATCTAGATTGCTTGTTACCTTATATCTGATATTTTCTTCCCCCCCAAAAAAAACCTAACCCCTCTATTCAGCTAAATGAAGTACTGAGGTTTTTATTTTTTCACCTGAAATTAAAAAAATACAAATGAAAAGAGAAATAGTATAACATTCCAGAATTAAAAATGTATTAACTTACTCCTTTTAGTTTTTTCCTGCAATTAATATAAACTACATTAATTATTTTATTTCCTTGGAGTTACAACAATTTGTCTCCAAAGCACAAATAATTTTATAAAATGTTAATATATGGTACTGAACTTGAAATATTTTTAGAAGTGGAGCTATCTGAGGACACGAGTGCAATGAGTTTTGTTATTTCCTTGTAATTCTAAAAGATACTAAGGCATCATGGCATATCTAGTGTTGAAAGAGATTTAAAGAGATTATATTTGCTTGAAGAACAAAGTCACTGTATTAAACAGGCCTTAAGAGTGGTCTAAAAATATCAGAGGTCTGTGTTGTACAATTAAGATTATTTTTTTTTAATAGAGTAATACTGAATTTACATATGTTCACTCTTTCATATTTGATATAGCTCCAATGGCTTTTAGACAACTATGAAACTGCAGAAGGAGTGAGTCTCCCCAGAAGTACCCTTTACAACCATTACTTACGTCATTGTCAGGAGCACAAGTTAGATCCAGTCAATGCTGCCTCCTTTGGAAAACTCATACGGTCAATTTTCATGGGATTACGGACCAGAAGACTGGGAACCAGGTTTGTGTTAATAAAATTTTAAAGTAAAATAGAAAATATCGATAATAATTGTGAATGTGAAGCTTGTATGTTAAAAACAAGCAAGCAAACAAACAAAAATATTTAAAACCTTACTGTTAAGGCAGTTGCCAAATCCAGTGGACTTCAGGAGCCAGGGGACTCCTGGTCTGCTATAGCTAGATTCTGTGTACTCTTAAGACCCAGATATCTTCCATCTCAGGCCAATGGATGCAGCTACTGCTGTTCCCATTTGCAGGTCCAGCTAGTAATGAGACTGAATATGTGTTCCAAAGATGCAGATAAGCACACGCATGACACTAACACAGCTAAACATGCAAGCTAACACAGAGCAATGCCTTTACCAGCACCCACATAGACACCAATAGCACTCACATAAACATGAATGCAGGTAGCCCAATTCTGTTCTTCCTCTCCAGCTGATCAGGACTGAAGTTGACTCGTGAAACATACACAAACCCTCACTCACTCAAAAGCATACCCCATTTATGGAATTGTTTTATTCCCCATGACTGTATAAGTAATGTATTTGTTTTTTACTTTCCTTATTCTATTTAAAAGAAGTCCAACAGTAAAGTGCTGGAAAATATAGTTTAAGTGAACTGATTTCCAGAAGCTGATGGAGTTATACCAGCTTTATACTAGAGTGAGAGGAAAGTTGAACCTAATTTTTATGTACTTTTTTCCAGTCAAGGGAAATTGTGAAGTGAGTATGATGTATATGCATAAAACTAATGTTATTTTTGTTCTTTCATAAAGGGGGAACTCCAAATACCATTATTATGGGATTCGTGTCAAACCAGATTCTCCCCTTAATCGGCTACAAGAGGACATGCAATATATGGCTATGAGACAGCAACCCGTGCAGCAGAAACAGAGGTACAGTGTTAAATGAAACTACTTTTTCATATTTCTAGTTCTTGGAGACTTGCCTGTCCTCATTTATGTGGCAAAGTTGAACCTCTAATTGAAATTATTTAACTTCTCTTGTGAAAAATAAAGGCTTGTCAGATCTGCAGTTGATATCACTGGAGTCTGATATCAGTAGACATGAGAGAGCACATACCTAAAAACTCATAAATTTTTAAAAAGTGTTAATAAAAGTAAAATATGATACAATTCTTCTGAACAGACACTTCTTGGCGGTCTTGGGTTATTTTCCCACAAGCTGGAAAAAAAAAAAAAAAAGTAGTAGGAGTTTTGAATTTCAAATTCTGATGTTCACTTTCATTACTTCAAGCAGCCCATATATAAAATGATAGAAGACCTTGTGATTAGGTTCAGCTTTGTGTTGATTTCCTACTCCTGGCAAGAACTGATGTATCAAAACCCTGGACTTGAGGAGAGAAAACTTGGGCCTCTTCTGGGCTTTGCTTGGAATAATCCCATGGGAGACAGTCCTTCAGCGCAAATGGGTCCAAGAGAGCTGGGTTTTTTGAGAATCACCTCCACGAAGCTAAAGAATGGTCCACCCCAACATGCAGGAAGTCAAGCAAAGGTGGCAGGAGACCTGCATGAATGAACAAGGAGCTCCTGACAAAGCTTAAACATAAAAAGAAAGTATACAAGAGGTGGAAGCAGGGTCAGGGAACCCAGGAGGAATATAGAGAGACTGTCTGAGTGTGCAGGGATGGTGTTAGGAAAGCCAAAGCCCGCCTATGAAGGACAAATGTTTGGGAGTTATCAGCATGGATTTATGAAGGGGAAATCGACCAACCCAATAGCCTTCTACAATTTGGTGACTGGCTCACTGGATGAGAGGAGAGCAATGGATATTCTCTATATTGGCTTTAGCAAGGCTTTCAACACTGTCTTCCTGTCAGGGAGCAGTGAGGGCTGGCTTCTCCCTGAGGGATGGGGAGTTGGGAGTCGAGCACCATGATGCGCACAGCAGGGGCCTCACCAGCCTGGGCCCAGTCCTGCAGTTTCCAAGTGAGGTGAGCAGGGCAGACTTGGAGATGGTAGAAAGATTCAACCAGGAGTCCAGCTCATCAGACAAATTTGTGGTGATGGGGCAGGTCCAAGGTCAAGCCAGAAAGCCAGTCCATGGGTTGGGGTCCAGATCAATGAGATCCATACCAGTCACAGGCATGGCTGTGGCTGAGCTAGAGATCAGTACTCCTACAACATAGGGATCTTATCAGTGTGTCTAAACACCTGATGGGAGGGTATATTGAAGATGAAGCCAGAATCTTCTCAGCAGTACCCAGTGACAGAACAACGGGCAATGGGCATAAATTGAAAAACAGTAGATGTCATTTGGTTGGAAGGCACCTCTGGAGACTGTCTAGTCCAACCCTCCCAGCTCAAAGCAGTATCAGCTAGAGTGGGTTGCTCAAGACCATGGGTTTTGAACATCTCTAAAGATGGAGACTGCACAACCTTTCTGAGCAAACTGTTTCAATGTTCAATCATTGCTAGAGTAAAAAAAAACAACCAAAAAAAAAACCAACCCAAAACACACATTTTCTGATGTTTAAGCAGAATTTCCTGTATTTCAATTTGTGCCCATTGCCTTTTATCCTTTCATTGGATACTAATGAAAATAGTGTGGATCTGCTTTATTTATTCCATCCCAACAGTATCTATATAAAGTAGATTTGAAGATCTTTGTTCATCTTTCATAGATGAAATACAGAGAGCAGGGAGCTAGACTGTGTGATATTTACAAGGTGAAAAACTTAGTACTGTCTTTTCTGTGCAAAATCAGATAGGCCAATATACTTTTCATAAAAGAGGTGTTTAACAGAAAAATTAGAAATTATAATTGAAAAAATTGGGAACTCGTGAACCAACTGTTATCTATGCAATGTTTTGTGTAAAAATTGCCAACTTTGAAGTTTTTGACTTAAAACTTTTTGATGGAAAACTAGACATTTTAAAAGCAAGAGTAGATGTTTTCACAATACTTTTATCACATTGGAATATGCTTGTCACGGTACTAATTTTAAACAAAAGTTTAAATATATATATAAACCACCAGTATTTCTTATTCTATCATGTTTAATACAATTTTGCTCTTCTCTAGCATGCAGAAATCTTTACTTTTACTTTTTATCTCTGTTCATATCCTTATTTTGCATTTTTTATTATACAGTTTATTATGCTTGTTTATTTTAATGCAAATTAAGATTTTCATGTATGTACTAGTGTCGCGGATAGAGTGATGCACTTCACTCGTGGGGGAGAAGCAGCAATATATTTATTGATATAAAACAACCATTTAACAAAGCTTGATAGTAAATGCGACAGTGCTTTAACAAGATTCGAGATGGCAAGGCATGCTTGGCTATCTGCTGCGTAGAGGACAGGATCAGACAAACTGTCAGGGAGACCCTCCCGTTGAGTCATGCTTTCTAACCTCCTTCTCAGAGAGGAGTCTAGGTGCGGCTGGATCCAATCCTAGTCCCAGACTTGTTCAACGGTTTATGTCTAAAGGATTATATATATGCAATCAATCCTTTATATCGCTTAGCTAAGAATTTCAAAGTTTAGCATGCTATTAGTCACTTACCAAGGATCTGTTGCGGCAAGGAATCTCTTAATCTCAAGAAATAACCTTGAGAGGCGTCCCTACCCAAGGGGAGATCCTGGCATGCAGCCCACTGTCATTCAGGAGAGCTCAACAGGCCCTGGGCTGTCCACTATTTATGGAGTAAGATGATTGACCTATAGTCATATTTGCATACCAGCGAGACATCTAGATCCATGGTGAGTAGACAGTGAAGCACTGCTATTTATTATTTGTTAATTTGTATGTTTTGGGTGGTTGAAGTTGGGTTATTTGTTTTATCATGTACCAAACCTTTATATACAACATAATTAGAAGCAATAAACATATAAAGTTAGAGCCAGCGAAATCACAGATGGGTGAAGCATATGATTAAACACTCCCATTGCTGTTGGTGATCATCCAAGA